AATCGGCGACATTTGCGACATGTCTCTCCTCCCCCGCCAGGACACGAAGTGCAATTCACTGGCTACAACAACCCGTTCACACAAGATGGGGAGTTCGTCTCCGACGAATACGAACAAGATTGGGACCTGCCGACACCCCCAGGCACCAAACCGCAACCTGACTCCTGGGGTTACCCACAAGCATCTTCAGACTCTACAGACTCACGCCCTCCCACCGATCGTGATACCATCCTACCCTATCACACATATCCCCGCAGTCCACTCCACACTGAAACCACGCCCATTGGCCCCTCAGATTCACCACCTCCAAGCCCTCCAGCCGAATTTCCCTTACCGCCTCATCACATGCCCCGCCCTCACCTACCAGAAGGAACAGCAGACACAGCCGATGCCACAACACCAATTACAGCCATTACCACAGTCACCCCAGCGCTCACCGCTCGTGAACTCATCCTTGCACTAGGCCTCTCCATTTCACCACAGCCCATTCTACAGCCCCCTCCGCACGATATCACTGAACTTATCGCCTTTTACGCACGATCACCTGCCCTGCGCGCCCAACCTGACCTCTGGCACAAACGCCTTGGTCACCCCTCCCAGGAAGTTCTCAACAACTGCATCCGCGCGCAAGTCTTTCTTCCCGGAACTCTACTCCGCCCAGACGGTACTCCCGTGCCCGTCAACACCTCTCGCCACACTGACTGCACCATCTGCCCTGAAGCTGCCCTCACCCATCAGCCTTTCAAGCTTCTTGAGCCAGGAACCAACCGCTACGACAAACTTGAGAAAGTCTACAGTGACTTCCTCGTGCTCACTCAGACTGGACTCAACGGCGAAGAGTACACCCTCACCTTCGTCGACGCCCACTCCCGCTTTGTTTGGGTCGCCAACGTCTCCCACAGGAGCAAGGCGTTCGAAATCTTCAAGGTCTGGCACGCCAATGCGGAGACACAGTCCGGCTGCACGCTGAAACTCTGGCAACTGACTGCGCAGCAGAGTTCAAAAGCGACAAGATGCAGGCGCTCATGCGGGAGAAGGGCATCATTCACAAGCTTTCCCTCCCGTACGCGCATCCCCAGCAGGGCGTCGCAGAACGCACCAACCGCACTCTCATGACCAAGGTCCGCGCACTTCTGCAGCAGAGCGACGTTGACGCGAAGTACTGGCCCTATGCCATGCATCACGCTGTCCGTCTGCACAACCTGCTCAGCACCACTGCCAACTCCGACAACCTCTCCCCGCATCTCAAGTTCACAGGGAAGCAGGGCGATATCTCCATGCTCCGCGTCTGGGGCTGCATTGTGCAGTATCGGCCCGCAGCGGCAACGACGGGGAAGTTCGAACGTCGCGCACGCTGGGGCGTTCATCTCGGCATCAGCTTCGAGCATCACGCCTGGACGATCCTCGACCACGATACCTCACAGATCGTCGCGGCGCGCGACATCATCTTCTACGAAGATCTCTCCATTCGCACGTTCCAGCACGCCCGCTACGCTGACCGCACCAGAGGCGAGAACAACATTGCGGAGTACGAACGCCCGCCGCGCAGCTTCGCTACTCCTGAAGATGAAGCCGCAGCAGCACTCGCGGACCAGGATCCTACGGACCCGCATCCCGGCCCTCGCCCATGGAGCGACGAAGACGAGGACGAAGACAGCGCTCCCCTTGACTCTTCTCGCGACTCCCTCCTCAGTCCGACGCCCTCCAGCGGTCACAACTCCGACGACGACGTGGTCGAAGTCACAAGCAACCAACGACACAGCCCCGGTCTCTCTGGCCTTCACATTCTTGGCCTTCACACGGCTGTGTCTCGACCGCCCAAAGTAGTTGAACCCAAAACCCCACGCCAAGCCCTGACCGGTCCATACGCCAAGGAATGGCGCGCCGCGATGGATGCCGAAGTCGCTGCGCTCGAAGCTCGAGACACCTGGGTTCTCACCGACCGTGCAGCGCTAAAGGGGAGACGCGTCCTCTCCGGCAAATGGGTGTTCCGCGCCAAAACCGCTGCCGACGGCACCATCGAGCGCTTCAAGGCCCGATGGGTTGTTCGCGGATTCGATCAGCGCCACGGCGTCGATTTTGATCAAACCTTCGCTCCTGTCAGCCGTCACACCTCTGTCCGCATCCTCTTCGCCATCACCGCCGCAAAACACCTCCCCCTCCGCCAAATCGACGTGAAAAATGCTTTCCTCTACGCACCCGTAGATGCGCTCATCTACGTCGAGCAACCCCACACCTACGGCGACGGCGACGATCGCGTGTGTCAACTCCGAAAATCCCTCTACGGCATCAAACAGGCGCCACGACTCTGGCAGCAATATCTCCATCAAATCCTGCTCGACATCGGTTTCATTCAGCTGCCTCACGACCCCGGCATGTATCGTCTCCACTACCGCGGCGATTACATTCTCCTCACGGCGTACGTGGACAACCTCCTCTACACGGGCACCAGCAACGATCTTCTCGCCCAGTTCGAAAAGAATCTCAGTAACCGCGTCGAAGTCACCAGCACCGACCAAGTGACTCAGTTCCTGGGCCTCAACATCTCCTACGCCGCTGACGCCATTCATCTCTCCGCCTCCAAGTACGCAGAAACTCTCTCGGCCAAGTTCAACATCCAACCTGCCAATCTCTCAACCCCTTACCGCAACCCAGCCACCCCACACCACCCCGACACCACCCCACTCAACCCCTCTGGGCATCAGCTATACCAGCAGCAGCTCGGTTGCCTCCTGTTCGCTGCGGTCACATGCAGGCCTGACTTGTCTTACATCTCGAGCCAGCTCGCTCAGTATGCCAAGCGGCCTGAAGGGGAGCACATGCTGGATTTACAGCGCGCCCTGCAGTACTTCATCTCCACACCTCTCATCAGCCTCACCTATTCAACCCTCACGACCCGCTCCTTCAGCCTCGTTGGCTACGTGGACGCAGGTCATTCTGCCGATCCTGCGATCGACGATCCCGAACCGGCTTTCTCTTTCGCCTCGAACCTACTGGCCCAATTTCCTGGAATTCCCAGAAGCAAGAAATGGTAGCACTCTCCTCTGCTGAAGCCGAGTTCATTGCCGCCACGTCAGCGGTCCGCGAAGGACTTTACCTTCAGGAACTTCTCCAAGAGGCGAAAATTGCGACATCCGCGAGCTTCAAACTTCACTGCGACAACCAGAGTGCGATCAAGATCGCGAACAAGCCTGGCTTCGTCAACCGCACTAAGCACATCGCACTCCGCTACTTCTTCGTCAAAGACGAAGTTGACAAAGGCAAAGTCATCTTGACTTACTGCCCCACTGGTGACATGGCAGCCGACTTCCTCACCAAGAAACTGCCACGTCAGCAGTACCATCACTGCGGAAACATCTGCGGTATAACCAAGCGCGTCAAGACTTCGCTTCTCTAAGAATGAAGGGGAGTGTTACGATATGGAATTGTTGAATAAACATTCCTGAGTAACGAAACCTTAACGCGAAGATGACTGCAGCGAGGACGAAGACCGAGCGACAAGACAGTTATCGAAGACAGTTACAAGCAGGAAGAATTCGAAGTGCAAAGCGCGGGAAAACTTCAAACGGTTACCGGACCGCGTACGGTTACCGAGCCGCACGGTTTCAATCGTGCACCTAGATTAGCCCTAAGGGGAATGTACCCCCTCAGAGTACATGGCTAGCTAGGACCTTTCGTATTCCACTGTATTCCTATATAAACCCTTGTACCGCATTGTGTTATTCACTTCTGTCGTGATCTAAATCTCCTTCTACTGACAGAGTCCGTACCCGACATTACCAAGCAATCTTCCGCTGCTACATTACGTGCGATCAACCTGAGACGATCCTATAAGACGGTTCAGATTGTATCAGTAGAGACGTCGTTAATTCCTAGAGTATTTCCGCTACTCTAGCGACCTCTTTATTTCAACTGCACCCTTTTGCGAGCGCGTTACTGTTGCCGAAACACTTCGCCTATATTACAATTTGCTCATGCATTCGCTCATTGTATTTGTTTGCTTAGACAGTGCAATCTTAGTTCTCTCACTCAATTGCACTCGTAACAGGTAACAAGCCTTTCCAAACGGGTGAAGAGTTTCGCCAGCGGGTTTACTTTCGAGACGAACATCTCATGGGCGGAACTGATCTCACACGCCCAGTGGATTGCTAGGGGGGGGTGGCTTGTCGGTTGCCCGGGTAAAGTTTCGGCGTTCTGTCCCTCAGCGTGCGGCTTGGACGGTGCTCGTCGCTTTTGCGTTGTTTCACGTCATCCCCTTGTTTGTACTCTAGTGCACCGGTACCCATGGATACCGCGTTTCGTAACATCGTATTTCGTCGACAGCCGCCTTGCCTAACACTCTTCTCTCGTGCGCAGTCGTGCAGGGATTTCGCGAGGGGTTTCGCAGCTTTGGTCTGACCCCAACTGAGCTTTTCTGCCTGTTCTTCGCACCCTCCATCCAGTAAAACTACACGAGCGCCCAACTTCCAGTTGAACTTTCCTTCGTATAGAGGAATACTAGCTTGATCTCGCCGTCGCAACAGCCGCACACCACCATCTTCCAGACCCGCTCTGACCAGACGGCCTGACGTAGCGTAGTCTCCTACTCGTAGTTGACGTTGCGGACAGTTGCTTTCAAGACGTCGCAGAACTCACCGCGATCGCACGAAAGTCCACTGATGGGCTCGTGCGCGGCTGGGGCATGCGTCTCCCCACTCGACGTTATAACGGCCCACAGGCACCTTCACACCCGCGCGCACAGCGCGGAAGCCCTCGCTACAGTCACAGCGTTTCACGACGCAGCAATGGGTGGTTGTAATCAACAGGCGAACCAGAGCTCACTCGTTATGAATATGTGCGATGCTGGATCACTCGATACAGGCGTGCTTTCAGCGCAGGACGCAAGCGCGTGGGGCTCTGCGGCATCATGGCTCCAGCCAGCAGGCACAGCGGTAGCAGCAGCAGCGTTCTACGGGCTTGGCGATCACTCTCGCAGCTTCGCCGGAGCTGCGTCCGCGCCGATGGCCCAAGCGCGAGTCTCCTCGTCGGGAGCGCACTTGTCGTATTCCACGCCGCCCAGCCCACTCTCTCTGGACGGCAAGCCGCACTCGCTGGAAGGTCGGGTCGGCAACCAGTCGCTGGAAGGTCGGGTCGGCAACCCCCCTCACGCGCGCTCGCAGCAAGTCGCTGGTGTGGCGGAGGCGGCAGAGCTGACGGCGGAGCTAGGCGCGATGGGCGGAGACGAGGATATGGCGGAAGAGGGGAGCAGCGATGGCGGAGGGGGGTTGGAGTGGCGGCGAGTGGTGGCGATGCTGATGTCGGACACGAAACACGCGATGCACACTGTGGATAGCGTCATGGGCGGGCAGGACGAGCAGCAGCAGCAGCAGCAGCACCACCATCAGCAGCAGCAGCAACATCACGACGAGATGCGAAACCAGGAGCTGTCGTACCAGCATGTTGGTACGCATCAAGATCAGACTCAGCTTTATCAGCATGATCACAAGTTACAGGACGATCACGAGAAACAGCACCCGTGGCAGCGGCTTGAGAATGAGACTGCGCAGTGTCAGCATCCCAAATGGCAGGCGACCCCATCCGCCTCATCTCCGCTCAAGCTCGTTATACCCATCCCTCGGCACCACGTGGAGACCCGCGCCGCAGCGACTACCACAGCAGCACACGTCGGCGATGCCATGGCCGGACCAGCCTCCAGCGATTGGCTCACGGCCCACCAACTCCAAAGCCCGTGTCGACAGCTTCAAGTTTCTCCTGCGGCAACTCCCGTGTTCTCGACTCCTGGCCGCGACCCACCACTGCCTTACGATCCAGTCGAAATCGCCAGCGACGGTAAGCCGCGCCGAGTCCCGGTTCGACACTGCGAAAGGAGCCTCCAGCCGCTCAAGCTGTCGCTGACTGAAGCTCGTCCGCATGACCTGCTTGGCTCGGAGCAGCCCGCGTCGGAGGGATCATGGCGAAGCAAGTCGAAGCGGCGCGAGGAACTAACAGTGGGGTCACCTCGCGCTCAAGTGATGTCGTCTGGCGTGCAGATGGTGTCGCCTGGCGACGGGATCGCGTCGCCTGCCAGCCTGACGGTCTCCCCTGGCGTTCGGATGGCGACGTCGCCTGGCCTACAGTCGCCGCCAACGATTCTGCTCGACGACATGAGCGCACGGAGTGGGCGAAGCGCGCCGAAGCGAAGGCGCGGGCAGTCCGGTTCTTGGGAGGTACGTCTCCGAGTAACTTGCCATCTGAGTAACAACGCCACGGTTGACTATGATGCGAGTCGCGTTTATTCTCGTCTAGAGGTTTCTAAGTTTCTTGCTCTTTCGTGACCCCTACCGGATTCCCTCAGGCTCGCGGAAGCAGCGCTTCCCCAGGTGGCAATAGAGCGGCAGTTGCGGACGAGGAGCGCCCTGCAGTCACCGCGTCACCCGCCGCTCCCGCCACCCCATTCGAGGGGCCTGATTGGCTGCACCACCTGCACTCGGGCAAGCTGCAAACGCTCCCCATCATGGTACGGCGCGTCATGATGGACAGAAAAAACGCGGCTTCGTCGTCTAACAAAGTTACCATTCGACTGTACACCGTTTACCATCCATAATTCCTCATCTTGCGCTAGGCCTGGTGAGCGTCAATCTGAAATGCTCAATCAACGTCTTTCGTGTTTGCTCTGCCTTTTATCGTTCTGAGCAGCTACGGATGGAGACGACCAAGGATCGCATTTCGCTACTACGACAACTCGTCGCACCTGCACTAACGAAGGTAACACAAAAGTGGCATGACAGTATCAGCAAGTGAAGTAGGTCTTCGATAGCAGATGCACTGCTGAATGCCTTTCCTAACGCTCCAAATCTGCTCATGTTCGCAGGGAGACACGGCGACGGTGCTTGGCGAAGTCGAACAGTTTGTGAGGGCAGTCTACGAGAAGCTCAAGGAGATCAGCAACGGTCACGAGCAGCACGTCGCGTTTCCCGCCAAAGGGAATGCCGAGGGGTGGTGCGCTCCGGCTTGTGGCTGGGCAGATAACGAATTTGGAGTGGATGGAGGTGTTGGCGGGCGCGATGGCGTGGGATTGGCTGCCAAGGGTCTGAGACTGGTTACTCGACGAACAGCGGAGACCTTCGTGAATCGAGCGACACATTGTAGAAAGCTGTAACCGTTTGAACGGAGTTTGATAACTAGCTGAACGAGAAGCATATTTCTGCTCCTGGTTCAGCTAGTTACCTCATTCCCACTCTCATATCCTTTATTAAATCTGACAGTGAGTAGTTTTTTTTCGCCCTTGTGAAAGGCATTTAGATTAGCATGATTGCATTTGAATTCTTAGAAACTAACTCTTCTCGATTTACATGAAACTGGCCAGTGACCTCAAGAGATTTTTGCAAGTATTTATTTTTTCCCTTGCAAGTGCACTGCCTGCTTTAGTATTTCTGGAGCTTGTTTAATATCATAAAAGCAGTTTATAGAGACTGGTTCATGTACCCGCATTGTCCGAGTGTTTCTCTCAAGATTCCTGCCTCCATTGCTGTGCTGGCTACGCCACCATCCAAGCTGGCAAGTGATCCTCAACGAGGAGTTACCGCCGCTTTCAACTTCGTTTTCGCTTCGACAAAATGTCGTGCGAGCTTCGTTTCATGAATCTTGAGATTCAACGTTGTCCTTCACGATCTTAGATGTGGAGTTGGCTGGACGGGGGCGAGATACGGGAGACAAGGGATATATTTTATGACTGTGATCGTCTAGTATGGGAGAGCAGTAGGGGAGAACAGGCAGAGCACAGCGCCAGAAACACACAAGCAACAGAATCAGCAGCGGCACCCATTCTTGAGGCAGTATTTTCTTTCTATTGTGCTCCACCATTGCCAGACTTGTTCAGAATCACCTTCGACTAACCCGTTCATAATCTCATAATATAGGTTTTCTGATCCTCGTACACTTGTATCGCTATTGACATGGCTGCGCACTTGAGTGTCACGACGCTGCTGCTTCTCTCCCTCGTGGCTTGCGTCTCGGCATTCGATCTGTCGGTCAGCCCAGCCGACGTGCTGGCGGCAGGATTGAAGGTCGGGCCCGCCAAGGACGTCGTAAGTGTGGGAAACACCCGTCGCTCAGAGACACCCGTCGCTCCGCGCTCTCGGTAGTAATCGACTCATTTGCATTGCCCTCCGTCCATCTCCCTGCCAACATGTCTGGATGCAACCCGCCTTACAACAACCGATACTGCCGTTATTTTTTAGGCGAACTCCCCCTCCTTCCGCTCCTCCTCGCGCGCAGGAATCCGCGGGGATCGATCTCCGCAGGGTGGTTCGACTATCCGATAAGGAACCGCGCGCGTTTCTGTATAAGAGCTTCCTGTCGGACGAGGAGTGCGACCACATCGTCAACATTGCTACTGCGCGACTCGCCAGGTACCCACACGCTCCATCGCGCCTAGTAACCCCGTCCCCTTTCCCGCTTCCCATTTCGGGCTTCCCATTTCCCGCTTCCCCTTTCCCGCTTCCCCTTTCCCGCTTTCCCTTTCCCGCTTCTCTTTCCCGCTTCCTTTCCCGCTTCTCTTTCCCGCTTCCTTTCCCGCTTCTCTTTCCCGCTTCCTTTCCCGCTTCCTTTCCCGCTTCTCTTTCCCGCTTCCTTTCCCGCTTCCTTTCCCGCTTCCTTTCCCGCTTCCTTTCCCGCTTCCTTTCCCGCTTCCTTTCCCGCTTCTCTTTCCCATCGCCCGGCAGGTCAGCAATGGCGGACGGCAGCAGCGGGCGGAGCGTGGTGAGCGAGGTGCGCACGTCCACAGGCATGTTCCTCACCAAGGGCGAGGATGACGCCTTTCTTTCGAGACGTTTCAACACCTCCCCCCTTCCCCTCCTTCCCTCCTTTCCCCAAACCTCCCCCACTTCCCCCATCCCCCTTTTCCCCTTCCCCTTTCCCGACTTCCCCTCCCCCCCTCTCTTTCCTCCCCCACCCCCCTTCCCCCGCAGGTCGGCAGTGGCGGACGGCAGCAGCGGGAAGAGCGTGGTGAGCGAGGTGCGCACGTCCACAGGCATGTTCCTCACTAAGGGCGAGGATGACGTCATCCGGGCCATCGAGCAGCGCGTCAGCGAGTGGACGTTCCTCCCCGTGGCCAATCAGGAGGCTCTGCAGGTACCGTGGCCAATCAGGAGGCTCTGCAGGTACCGTGACCAATCAGGAGGCTCTGCAGGTACCTTGGGTGGGGAGGTTGGTTGGGGCACCTCGGAAGGAAAATGGGAAGTGCGTGTGTGGGTGTTGAGTAGCAGCAGGTAGAGTGGCGTGGGTGGCTCTCACGGGGTGGTGCCACACGGCACACGGCAGGCTGTGCGCCCAACAGGGCTGCCCAACGCGTTGCTGTCCAACACACAGTGCGTTGCAAGTAGCTCGATACTTCCTGTAACGGGTCGCCACCCTTTTTGCAACACGCAGTGCCCTCGTGCCCCGCCACAGGACAGGCCAGAACAGACACTCGGCCCACACTCGGCCCACTTCCCCTTGTCTGACTGACACATCCTGCCTCCGTTGCCCCTTGCAGCTGCCGCTGTGTGGCATTAACCATGCATGTGATGTGACCACCCCCCCTGCGCTTCCCTCCTCGCATCCTCCCCACAGTGCGTCACACGCGCTGCAGCACACACCATGGGCCAGCCATACGCCTCGCACTGCCACGCCCTCCTCTCTCGCCCTCCTCTCTACTCTCCCCTCCTCCGTCCTTCCCCACGCCTCCCACCTGCTGCAGTACAGCTGTGCGTCAGAATACCGGCCTGCACTTTAACTCCTCCCTCGTGCCTCCCATCTCCTCCCAACCTCCGCCGTCCATCCCATCCCACTCCTCTCCACTCCGCTGCAGTCCTGGTCAATCTTTCTCCCGGTGCCCAGGGTCCTCTAGTATGGCATGGGGCAGAAGCACAATTCGCACCTGGAATACTCCCGCGCGCCTCCCCTCTCGTCACCACCTCCTCCATCGCATGCCATGCCGTGCCATCCCCACCTGCTCGTCAACCCTTCTCCCGGCCTGTCAGGTCCTGCGGTACGGCATAGGGAAGAAGTCCAACCAGTACTGCCCTCCACCGCACTCCACCTCTGGACTAACGCCTGGACGTTAGTGCGACCCACCTCTGGACTAACGCCTGGACGTTAGTGCGACCCACCTCTGGACTAACGCCTGGACGTTAGTGCGACCCACCTCTGGACTAACCTCTCACGCCCTGGCAACACGCAGTTGCATGTGCTGCAGTGCGGCCGTTTGCCAGATTTTTTAACCCGTATCCCACTCCAGCCCTCTCCACCTCACTCCACCCCACTCCTTCACTCTTCTCCGTTCCCCTCAGGTCCTACGGTACGGCATGGGGCAGAAGTACGACCTCCACCTTGACTATTTCGCCCACCCTGTCAACACGCAGCTGGTCGTGCTGTGCTGGACTATGAATGACTGTGCACAGAAGCCCAACCTGTACCGCACTCCACCCCCCTCCGCCCCACTCCACCGCACTCAGGTACTCCGGTACGGCATGGGGCAGAAGTATGATGCCCATGTGGACTATTTCTCCGACCCCGTGAACACGCAGCTGGGCGGCCACCGCTACGCCACGCTGCTCATGTACCTCAACAACGTGACCAAGGGAGGAGAGACCGTGTTCCCCACGGTGAAAGACGACACGCCGAAAGATGACTCGTGGTCTGACTGTGCCAAGGGTTCCTTAGCTGGTGAGTGCTGGGTTGCTGGGGCTGGGTGGTGCTTCTGTGCAATTGATGGGCATGCTGCTGGGCGGCCACCGCTACACCACGCTGCTCATGTACCTTAACAGCGTCACCAAAGGCGGGGAGACGGTGTTTCCTACTGTAAAGGACGAGACGCCCAAGGATGACTCGTGGTCCCACTGTTCCAAGGGCTCCCTCGCTGGTCAGTGCTGGGGGTGATGGTGCTGGTGCGTTGGTGGGGGTGGGGTTGACGGGCATCTGCGGCAAGGGTGTTCCGCGCTGCTCATGTGGTCAGCAACGTGGCTACAAGGGGGGCCGAGGCCGCCTTCCCCTCACCCAAGGACGACACGTGGTTGGACTCGCGAGAGGGTGAGAACAATGTGCAGAGGACGAGGGAGTGGAAGCTGGTGAGGGGGAGGGAAAGGATGAAGCCAGCGCACTCCAACCCTCCTCCCTGCGCTTCCAACCCCCTTCCCCGCTGCACCTCCCCACTACCCTGCCCTCTCTCCTTCCTCATCCCTCCCCCCTTGCCACTCTCTCCCAACCCATCCGTCCCCTCCCCTCTCTCCCTACACCACCCCCTCCCCCGCCCCTCCCTCCCCACCCCTCCCACCCCTCCCCCACCAGTGAAGCCTATCAAGGGCGATGCGCTGCTCGTCTTCAACATGCATGCACCCACACGGCTCCGCCAACCCTGCCACGCGTGCCCCGTGGAGGACGGCATTATGTGACCCCTCTCCCCCTTGCCTCTTGCTCCTCACTGTTCCCTCCTCACCCCTCCCTCCCTCCTTGCCCCTCCTCGCCCATCCGTGCCCCTCCTTCCCCATTCCTCCCCTACTGCTTCTCCCCCCTCTCCCAGCAGTGAAGCCCATGAAGGGAGATGCGCTGCTTGTCTTCAGCATGGATCAAGACGGCTCGTGTGTCCCCTCCTCTTCGCACCACGCGTGCCCCGTGGTGGACAGCATCATGTCACCCTCTCCTCACTGCCTCTTGCTCCTCACTGTTCCCCCCCTACCCCCCCCTCCCTCCTTCCTTGCCCTTCCTTGCCCCTCCTTGCCCCTCCTTGCCCATCCTTCCCCATACCTCCCCGACTCCTTCTCCCCCCTCTCCTCTCCCTCCCACTCCCCCACCAGTGAAGCCCATCAAGGGCGACGCGCTGCTCTTCTTCAACATGCAACCAGACGGTTCCCCTGACCCCTCCTCGCTGCACCACGCGTGCCCGGTGGTGGAGGGCATCAAGTGGTCGGCACCCAAGTGGATCCGCATGGGGGATGTCACCGTGCCGCTGGGTGATGCTG